TTTTAAGGTTTCTCTGCTGAAATGGCTTACGTTCTTTCACAACTGAGAAAACTGAGATCGAGGATTTATCAAATGAGAGAGAATTATTCAGCGATGGAGCTGTTTCCCTCGACAAACTTTCCACACTAGCGTCTAAAAGGTCAAAAGATAAGATTTCATTTGTGGGGGAAAGTATGTTAAAAAGCAGTGAAGAAAATAAATGCACCAAAAGTATTAGAGTAAATTATTCATGAGTTCAGTGTAAAAAGGTTCTGCGTTTCAAAGACTTTTTTTTTCTTTTCCCCCAGAACTACTTACCTTAAAAAACTACACGAGAGAGAAAAAGTGTGATTTAAAATCTTTCTGACAAGCTCAGACCTGTACTGAAGATAGCCGGGATTTGAAATTTTAATTTCATTTTTCAAAAAAATGAAACCACCAAAATTTTTCCATGTAGCAAAAACATAATAATTCCCTACTTGATTCCTTGTCATTTCAAAATACACCACGCATTAAAACCACACAGTATCAAATTTCCTTCAGTGGGCATATACGCCTTTTCTAATGAGGAACAAATTAAGTTATTTTTTAAAAATACTATGCTATGGATATTATGTCATAAAGGAAATGATTTATGGGGTACTATGATAAGTATAAAACAAGTTACAAAATGATAGGTGCAGTATTATTTCCACTGGTTTAAAAATACACTGGAAAATAACTAGAGGAAATATTAAAATACTAATACTGGCTATATTAGATGAAGTGATGAGGTGACTCGCTAAGGTTTTATGGCCAATGAGCAGAAGAGCTGGAACATATTTTACAGTTCATTCTTTTCCATCCCAGCTTCTATAAAAGGGTGTAAACTGCTAAACTTTTAAGGGTCAGAACTATCACTGCTACTGACGAGTGGAGCCCACCAGGACAGAAACCAGGGAAGGGCGAAATCTCAAAACTGAATGCAGCTGAAAGCTTGAATTAAAATAAGTCAGAGCCAACTCACAGTTTATAAAGTGCTAGAATTTTTTTTAAACAATGAGAAATGTCCTTTAATTGGCTCTACTAGGTACCATTCAGTTCAACGAAAATTTACTGGGCTCACAGAGGACCGTGATGGGCCCAGATAGAGAAGCGCTCATTCACACAGACATTAAAACTTTAGAGTAGGAAGGGGATGTGCACCAAAACTACTACAACATGAGGCAGGCACGAGATGTGCCCAAACGATCTCTAAACCAAGCGCTATGGGGACATCCAGGAGGAAGACAAATGATTCAATCATTCCTCTTCCTATTAGAAAAGCTCTCTAAAGGTAGCGCTTTTTTGTGTTTTTTTTCCCCTCACGTACCATCGGTAAAGACAACTGGTTGTCTAGGTGGCATATCTGAAAAGATATGAAATCTGGACCCAGAAGACCTGAGACTATCACAGACCTATCTCTTCATCTATATGACCCCAAGCAAATCACTTCCTCATGCCGCCACGCAGGGAGCATTTTCTGCAGTGGCCACCACACTAGAAACTTCCAAGCAAGCTCACAGAGAAGGATGGCAGGGAGTGTTCCTTCCCAGAAAAATAATTGGCAGAGTCTGCAACTCAGAATAAGAATACAGGAGCTTCAGCTTTTTTGTTTGTTTGTTTTCTTGGGTTTTTTTTTTTTTTTTTAAGATTTTTTGAAGGCTGGCCCTGAACTAACATCTATTGCCAATCTTTCTCTTTTTTTTTCCTCCCCAAAACCCCAGTACATAGTTGTATATCCTAGCTGTAAGTCCTTCTAGTTCTTCTATGTGGGATGCTGCCACAGCATGGCTTGATGAGCAGTGTGTACATCCACACCCAGGATCCAAACCCGCGAACTCAGGGCCACTGAAGTGGAGTGTGCAAACTTAACCACTACGCCACCAGGCTAGCCCCTGTTTTTTTTTGTTTTTGCTGAGAAAGGTCTGCCCTGGGCTAACATACATGCCAATCCTCCTTTATTTTTTGTATGTGGGATGCCTCCACAGCGTGGCTGATGAGTGGAGTAAGTCTATACCCGGGGTCCGAATCTGCAAACCTGGGCCGCTGAAGCAGAGCACATGGAACTTTAACCACTTGGCCATGGGGTCGGCCCCCAGGAGCTTCAGTTTTTAAGATCTGCAAATATGCTCTACAAGACAGAGATATCACAAGGAAAAATAACTACCTAGTATTAAAGCAAAACCTATAAGAACTGTTGCCCTAACTTCATTCGTTAAATATAAGAATGACTTTGCTACCCACATTCCAGTAAGTTTTTGCCAAAGTAAATGTCTGACTGTAAAAATGGAATGCTGTCCTTTGTGCTAGTCAGAATTTAGCACTTGTCTGGTATTTCAATAAAATTCTACATATTTCATTATTATATATGCATACCTTGTTTTATTGTGCTGCACTTTATTGCACTTTGCAGATACTGTGTTTTTTACTAGACCCTCCACCAGCAAAACGATTACGACTCGCTGAAGGCTCAGATGATGATTAGCACTTTTTAGCAATAAAGTGTTTTTAGATTAAAGTATGTACATTGTTTTTTTAGACATAATGCTATCGCACACTTAATAGACTACAGCATAGTGTAAACATAACTTTTATATGCACTGGGAAACCAAAACATCCATGTGACTTGCTTTATTGCAATATTTGCTTTACTGCGGTGGTCTGGAACCAAACCCATGATATCTCCGAGGTATGTCTATAATCAAAAACATCAAACAGAGACTAAGAAAAATATAGAACTATTTTAAAATGTAAAAGTAAGGTGCTAGATTTCACTAATAATACTATATGGTGGGGCTGGCCCCATGGCCGAGTGGTTAAGTTCACGCGCTCCACTGCAGGCGGCCCAGTGTTTCGTTGGTTTGAATCCTGGGCGCGGACATGGCACTGCTCATGAAACCATGCTGAGGCAGCGTCCCACATGCCACAACTAGAAGGACCCACAACGAAGAATATACAACTATGTACTGGGGGGCATGGGGATAAAAAGGAAAAAAAAAAAATTTAAAAAAAAAAAAAACTATATGGGAAAGAAACCAGAAGGTGAAGGGTGAGGAAGAAATTAGCTAAGAAAACCATGGACATACGATGCAGTAGAATTAATTCGGAGCCAAGAAAGTTCACAGCAAAGATGATACTGGAAAGCTCAATCATTTTGTACTTGAAAAATTAAGGATGAAATTAGAAAAGTGAATAAAAATGAGATAAATGAACAAATGTTTTATTTTAAAGGGGAAGAAAAAAAATAGCTGGGCTAGACTAGAATTAAAATTTAACACACTAAGTGAAAACAACACAGCCTAGTTAGAGAAAGAAGAGTCATGTTTAAATAGGTAAAGTTGAATAAATTTTTCCAAGGTAATCGGAAGAGTTCCTATGGGTTTCTCTCTCCTATCTCACTTCCTAAACATTATCACTTCCTTTTAAAAAATTACTATTATCATAACAATTATTAGGAACCTAAGAATTTCATTTCATTTCCTGCAAATTAAAACCAAGGGGAAAAAATTCTTTTAGGAGAAAAAAGGTCTAATAATCCCCACACCAACTTGAGGGCATACACCCTTCTGCTTTAATGAAATGCGATCTTCTCTCTAGTTAATCAGGAATGCCACAAATAGAGAAAGGAAGAGCTCATAGAAATGGGATCCTAGCACAAACCTCCATGCTCATTACACGCTTATAAAATTCTCACCCTGAAAAAAAAAAGAAAAACCTAAGCTCACACAAATAGACTATTTCAATTTAATTTTATTATGAAAACAACAGGCAATGGCAGCAGGGTATTTGATAAGCTCAATTAGCAGGAGGATCAAATGAAGTGATGACATGCCATTATGACCTCAGGGGTTAAAGATGCAATCTTCCATCTGGCAAGATCTCGATTTCCAACACAAACGCTGAAACCACCTGCAGTCGGTTATTAGGCATTATCCTGAGCAGTCCCTAAGCATTTTCCTTACAAAAGGGATAGCCTCAAGGGTTTTTTTCCTTATTTCACTCTGCAACAATTGCTTCCCCATGAACAGAAACCAAAAATAAATTCTATAGAATGGCTCACTCAAAACAGGCACTAAAGCCATACTAAAGCATTCATTTACCAATCATCACAGTCGTAGTAAAAATATCACAAGTATTTTCTTTTAAGTCATGAATGATATTTTTCTTCTATGTCACGAATGATATTGTGCCATCATTTTCTACAGCACCTAAGAATCATTCCAATCAAGAGCTCTCTGTGTATGTCCTCAATTAATAGTCTCCTGCTGCTGAAATGGATAATTTGGGCATGTCTGATAAGAATCAGGTCTATAGAACCCCTTCACAAATGAAAATTCACTATATTTTTAAACTTAATATGGTTCCTTGAGAGAGGCAAGGGTAAACACTTTTTAAAACTTTCACAAACCAAGTGCAAGGAGCCCATTTGTGAGTGTTCAGACCTTTAGATGCATGTGTTACCAAGAATCATGTTGTTAGGCTCTGAAGCTGTATTTTTTAACTCTGCATAATGAATTCTGCAAGCCAGTGGTTAGCCACTGAATACAGCTCTCATTGTGATTAGAACTGATTAGGTTTGTGTCCTATGATGTTACACATGTTCCCGCACGTGCACACACACGCGCACACACACACTCACCCACTCACACCCCACTGTAAGTTAACTATGGACACAAGTTCGGATACCCAGTCTTGAGATTCCACTTTGAACAGTCAACAGCACAACGATGAATACTCACAATTGTCTGTTTTAACCCTTATTTTCCTGGCTGCACCAGTTTTTTCCGGTAGAATTTACTTTTTACCACCTGCACCTCCTCCCTAAGCAAATTCACCCACTCCTCATGTTGGTCCAGTCACTTCCTCAAGTGTCTGGTAGCTATACAGGGTTTCTCTTTCATTAAAACTTACCCCCCAGGTTATTTCATTTTCTTCCTTCTTGGGAAGTAAGTGTTGCAGAAATGGGAGCACATAAAATTCGTAAATAACTCAAAACTTACTTGGCTTTCTGAATCCACACACAGTAGTCTGAGATGTAGAGATCGTTTAGAATGTAAGCTGGGTCGTTTTCCTGAAAAATTTTGTGAATATCCAGTAGACACTTTAAAACTGCACTTTCACCTGAAGGAAACATAAAAAGTCAAATCATCCTTAATAAAAAACATCTGATTTTTTTAAACTGAGGCATTCAGATACTGAGAGGTAATATATTAACAGCAGTTCAGAGTCTTAACCCTGTTTTTAAGAATACTTTTAATATTCCTTCATTGCATGAAATTTTATCAGTACTATAAGGTCCAAACCTCTTTCTTTCTTTCTGTAAGAATTATGAATAGTCCTTATACTCTATTTTTATAGCTGATTAATTGTAGTTACCATAAAAACACTATGAAACACAAATAGGTACATTAAACAAAAGAGAGGGGAGTTATCCTAACTAAATGAATATTTAAATGAATCATTACTTTAATTAGATAATGTTCTTCTAATTCGAGCTTTCAAAATACCAGGGAAAACTATATTTTAGTTTTCAATTCTCAATTTATTTCTTATGTCAACATTTTTCGTCAAGGAATTACCTAGTACTAACTTAAATTTTTGCACCTTAAAGAATTGAAAACTCAGACTGAAAACTAAAATATCATAGCACTACTTCAAAAATATGCTGACAAAATCCCTTGCGGGAAAAAAGCCATCGAGTACTGAAGTCTTGTTCAATCTAACCACTTTCTCCTGGTTGTTAAATGAACCTAAGTTTAATCCCAACCAAAGCCTACAAAACGAAGCTTTCACAAGTCAACAGCAATTCCCTAGGTGTTCCAAACTTCACAGTCCCTCAAATTTATTAACTATGTGGCAAATTACTAAATCTATGGTAGTACCACTTCCTTTGATCTGCAAAATACAGCATTTTCACTAACCGTTTCGTGCTTGTCTTTAAAGTCCTGAAACATGAAAATACTGTAGATTGATTTCACGAAGATACTGGATGTGCTCTCATCGCCATTTCCCACTTGACTTTAGATATGATAAAAGAATCATGAGCTGGATAATGACATCTCAAGATGCCCAAATTGCTGCCACTAAATTTTTAACACAATTAACACTAGAAAGTAAGCTTCAAAAGAGCAGGGACTCTGTTTTATTTAGTGGTTAATCCCCAATACTTACAACAGAAGCTTGCAGCAGCCGATTTTCAATTTAAGTATTTGAAGAATGAATAAATGAATGACACAGTAATCATCCACTTAAACCCTTGCAATTTTTTTCATCCCATAGCCTCACATACCAAGCCCTGATGATTCGTCCTTGGAAATGCCCCTTGTGGCTGCTGTTTCTGCACCATGCCCTGACCACAGATCCTCACTCAAACGCTCATCACCTCACGCCTAGGTTACAAGATCTTCTTCCTCGTCTCTTGCATTCCAGGCTCTCCCCTCTAGCCCTCTGACACACATTTTCTTACGCACTGCTTTCATGGGGGCCCGTCCCTGCACATGCTTTCAAGGCTCTACGGACTTGCCCATGGTCTTTTGCACAACTAGTTCCCCACAGCTGGAGTGCCTTTTCTTCTCCCCTTGACCTAATGGAATCGAGCCTACCTTCAAGGCCTAGCTCAAGTTTTCATGCTTCAGGAAGCCTGGGCCGACCTCCCTAGTTGTCAGAGCTCTTGACTAAATCCTTCAAAGGAAAGAAGTGGAAAGGAAGCTCAGCTGATCCTCTCCATAACTTCCCCTGCTCATTTCACAGAAGGAGAAACTGAGGCTCAAGTATGGTAAGATACTCACAGTACCACTGAGTTAGGGGCCCAGAATCCAAATTCTGATCTTACTGACTCCAGAAGCTATCCACTGTGCATGCTACCCATATGTTCTTGGCCCATTCAGTCTATATCACATTTTTATTACTCAAGAGTTAAGTAGGTAGTAAGTTCAAAGTAGGGGCCATGCCTTTTTCAAAAATTTAAACTATTTATGTGGCTTTCTCATATGCAGATAGGAAGAATGTCAACAAAAGCTCTGCTGGTCGATTGGTTAAGAAAACTGCTTAAAAGACCTAAGACTGCATTTGGTTTAGCCAAGGTCAGAGCTGTGACTTACCGCAGTGGCCTAGGCTTACTACATCAAATGACCAGTGTGAATTCCCCCGGCACAGGCCTATTTAAGCTACAAGGCAGGTAATGTTGAAGGCAGAGTTTGATGACAGGAGGAGGAAATAAAATCAAAACTCACAGAAGTGATGAAACCAAGGTAGCCATGTTATCCAAACAGAAAAATATCACAGGCGAACTAACTAAACTATAAGAATGTTTTGAACAGTTTGAATTGCCACAGAGAAGAAAATGTCAGAGTGTATGCCAATTTCTTGCTTTCTCTCTCTTTTGGGGGGGGGGGGGGAGGAAGGGAGTTAAGTTTCATGATAATTACCGACTTAAAAAGTTTTTTTTCTTTAAATGTATGCTTTTTTTTGGGTGAGGAAGTGTGGCCCTGAGCTAACATCTGTTGCCAATCTTCCTCTCTCTCTTTTTTTCTCCCCAAAGCCCCAGTACATAGTTGTACATTCTAGTTATAAGTCCTTCTAGGTCTTTTGTGTGGGATGCCACCTCAGCATGTCTTGAGTGGTATGTAGGTCCACGCTCAGGATCCATATGGGTGAACCCCAGGCTGCTGAAGCAGAGTGCGTAAACTTAACCACTATGCCACATGACCAGCCCCCAATTTAAAGTTTTAAAAGTCAACCATAGGTCTTATCAAAAAAAACTTTTCACTTGAAATGTGTACAAGCTGCTACAGTGAGGCATCCCAGAATAGTGCCTCTCAAGATCCTGAAGCTTACTAATATAAGCAGGTTAATAGAAAATGCAGGATTTGGAGCTGGGCCTCACAGCAAATAACTCAGTGAGTAAAGAAAAGTGAAGAAAAAGGGGTAGGTATGCCAGCTTGGAGGACAGCGTGAAAAGGAGCAGAGGTGGGCCTAAAAATGGAGTGGATTCAGGGAACGAGAGGAGAAGATCATTTGGCTGGAGCAGCTGGTGCAAGTCGGGAAATGGGCTGTAAACTGGGGAGTTTGGTGGAAGTCTGTGTCAAAGAGGAGGCGATGCACACAATCAGACAGGACTGAGGTGAGAGGGTCCACACGCAGGTGTAGGCAGTAGGGATAAAAGACCCCACTCGCAGATTTTTATGAAGACGGGTGTGGAATTAAGGTCACATATTTAATGAGAATCCAGGGCAACCATTTCCTAATGAAATTATACAGCTTCATGTAGCAGACATGCCTAAAGTGAGGTTGCTCCCTTGCTAAGGGCCACAGGCAAATTCAAATCTTCCGGTTATCACGAGTGAATGATAATAAAAGAACATGACATCAAAAATAATCAATTCTTTAAAATTTTAAAGTTACATTGTATTTGCATGTTTCTTAAAAAAAAAAGACATATACATACACACACAAAACCCCTAAACATAAATATACCCAAATGATATTAATAGTATTTGTCACTACATTCTCTGGACAAATACGTGAATGCCTGCCGTGTGCCCGGCACTGTTGTACACTAGGGATTGCACATTTACTCTTCTTTGCACTTTCCCCTATTTTCAAAATTCTCCACAAACAACATTTATTTGTTTAACCAAAAATTAGACATCCTCAACTACACAGCCAAACCTTGAAATATTGACAAAGAATGTTAACATTTTAAAAGTCGTATTTAAATTTTCTTTAAATTGTATTTTTGAACAACTGAGAATCAACATTCAGATCAGGTAACTTTAGAAAACCACATGCCAGGCAGTTTTGAAAGGGAAAGTTATGTACTTTTCAAAAGCTGCGTTTTCACTGTAAGCCTTTTTCAAACTATTTTCACAGTATGCTAAGGGACAGATACGGTAAAAGAGAACTGAGCTACTGGCAGTTGACAATTTAGAACAAAAAGTACATTAAAACCATCCTCCCCCCAACAATGTATATTGTTCCCCAAGGTCATGCTTCATCGCTTTGGTTCCCACTAAATCACCACAGATGATTCCGGCATCAGAGCGCAGAGACTCATGAGGCCATGCAGTTCTTTCTTCTTTAAGTCTGCTTTGTACTGACTTCTCTTTCTCTCAGGTTGTCCACCACTTATCGAACAGCTATCGGCAAAGGAAAAAACTGGCCCTCTTCCAGGCTGTCACACGGTCAGTGGCCAGAAACCTTTGGGGACTCCAAGTACCTGGCTCCTGTGGAGCTGCATCCAGTCATAGGCTCGTCAAACATCATACGGGCATAAAAAACTGCTCAGGCCTAAATCCAAGGGAATTATTTCTGCTCAAAGGCACTGCAGGAAGGTGACCATTTTCAGCCAGTTCACTGCCTGGTCCAAAGCAGGAAAAAGAAGGGACCTTGCACAGTTACCACGGTAACTATTTTCACCACAACAACACACTAACAGGCCTCTCCAGGATGTGAGATCCCCAAAGAGCTAGGGATTCTCTATGATCCACTTGGTACTTGCTTAAGCCAACTCTATCCATTGAAGAAGGGCTAATGGAAACAAGATCTTGTTCACTCACAAAGGCAGTTTAAAACCAGGATCCTGGTATTATAAATGACAAGTGCCATGAAGGTTTTACTTCAGGGAAAATGACTGTCTAATGACAACACAGAGAAGCATAATGACAACATAAAGTAAATAAAGATAACAGTAACAAGCAGGTGGGCAGTAAATAGTATTTAACACATTCTCTGGCTACTCATTCTCCAGCTCTCCTTTAAAGAGAAGGTAAACTAAGAACCATGTGCTTTCCTGTTCTGAACAGATGTGGCTTCTCAGGTTAATATATCTTTAAAAAGAGACAAGATTGAGCTGTTCTAAATTAGAATCCATTGGCTATTTGAAATCTTCCCATTAGCAGACCAGGTTTGGCAATAATCTCTCACTGACAGACTAGCTCATGGTTGGAGGCACTTAAGAAATGGCTCCCGTTCTAGGAGATTATCAGGATAGTGGATGTTTTGGCTGGCTAAAAGCCAGCACAGCAAAAATAATATACACTGCTAACTCTATATAGTAAGAGCTAAATTTCTTTTCAAGTGGTACATTATAGCTGCTATAAGGCTGTAGTTTTCTGGGTATC